GCAACTAGTAATGATAGACCTGATCCCACAGGCAAGGGGTGATATAAAACACCTTCCCTTAGGCCATCCGTCAGCCCCTGTCATGGCTGGAGAGGAAGCTGGCCGGCCAAGTCAGAAGAGAGCAGCGTCTGCAGGAAATTCAGTTCTCCTGCCTGCCAACACCAGAGGTTCTGCTAGAGTGATGAGGATGGATCAAGTAGGGTCTGGAGCGCGCCAGGCGCTCCAGCCCCATTGGCCGGTGTGCGGGGAGTTCTCGTCCAAGAGATTGGAGCTGGGCCAGTCGGGGTGGCCCTCCGGCACCCCCTGGGGGCTCTCAGGACCTTCCCCGCTCCAGGGCGCTGACAAAAGGCACCCTGGTTTGGGCCCAGGTGGCTTCTTGATAGTCTCTCCAGCCTTCTCGGCCCTCCAGGGTCCCCTGGAGGTGGTTGGTGAATCAGAGCGGCCAGAAGCCAAGTTTCCTTTCTTAGCCTCCTGCCCTTCCTGGCCTCCTCCCTTAAGTCTCCCTTGGTGCAGACCTCGAAGGCCTCCTCTGCCAAGGTCGACAGCGGGGCTTGGGGCCCAGCCTCAAGCTCTGTAATTCCCTCCAGGTGTCAGGCATAGAGCTTGGGTGATAAAACGCATGGCCAGTGGTGTCCTCCCCTCTGTGGACTGAGGGTCTGTGTGGGTGTCCTTCCTGAATGCCTTTGTCTCCTGGCTCAGGAAGACTGCTGGGTTTTCGCCTTTTTCCTGTGCAGCCTCTTGGACCTTATCGTAATCTGTAGGCTTTACCATACACCTTTTCATTCCTTCCGATAGACAGGTAGTATCATGTCTCATCCTAGTTGCGGCCTGCACGATCTGCATAGTCCCGGCGTGGACCGTGCTCTGGGATGGCATCGCCACCCGCCTGATGGATTTGGTGACCAGTGTGGATTGGGGGCCAGGAGGCCAGCTGCGTGTTCCCTGGCCTTTCTCAGTAAATGCTCCTTTTTATCCAAGGTACAGCAGTGGGCCAGAATAACCATGATGTCCTGCCAGGTGGGAGCTTCCCAGGTGGGGTGCAGTGGTAAAGAACCCGCCTGCCAAGCAGGAGACGTGCGTTCAATCCCTGGGTCAGGAAGATCGCCTGGAGGAGGGCATGGCAACCCACTCCAGGATCCTTGCTGGAGAATCCCGTGGACAGAGGGGCCTGGCAGGGCCGTGGGGTCGCATAGGGTCGGACACGACTCTGTGACTGAGCAGCAGCAGCCTGCCAGGTAAGGGCGAGTGCCCACCGCAGCCTGGCAGCTCCGTCCTAAGCTCGTCCGGGCTCTCTGGGAACCTGGCGAACCTCTCCTTACAGAATAACCCGGTTAGTTTAGGATCTATTTGGGAAGTTCCAGGAGCCCTTCGAAGCACCTCACAGTTAGTTGGAGGTCAGAAGAACTTTGTATTTGACCTTGGGATAGTCTGTCAGAAATTTTTAAAAGTTTTAAAGCACCCAATCAGATAGGATCATAGGTATCTGTGAAACAATGCTTATTCCATGAGCTAAGGTGGGGGAAAAAAGATTTTAAAAAGTAAATACAGATCACTTAATGGCACAGAAACTCACAGTCTGATATCGAAAGGAGTATGCTGGGAAAACGTTCTCTCATGAGAAAGAGAAGCCACATCCAGTCCTGCATAAGCCTACTCTTAGAAAAATCCGTTTACCTAATTAAATTTAATCCAGCCTTAGAAGACTGCCTACATACAAAATTCTTTTCTCAGCGTCCCTCTTCTGCAAACCTCCTGCCACTTCTGTAGTCATACTTTGTTCCTTATTTTTTCCCCATTCAGAAAAATGAAAAGTGAAAGTTGCTCGGTTTTATCCGACTGCAGGCAGATTCTTTAACAACTGAGCTATTGGGGAAGCCCTCCCCGTTCAGAAATAGCCAGCAAATCATCCTCTTTTCTTTCAACAAAATATTCCATTCATCATACCTTCTTTTCAGAAAACACACATCCTATTTTCCTTAAGCAGCCATGAACTGTCTTCTACATTAGCATTCTATAGGTTGGTGAAGGACACTTCAAGGTGACACCAAACATCTTTAGTTTCTCTCTCACAAGAAGACAGAGGGGGGGAAATTTAGACCTGTTCAGCAATAATGTTCCTAATATTTTATCTTAGTTCAAATGGCCTGGATAGTCAATGAATTGCTATCACTTAACTTGTTAGTTTCAACTTACCAAAATTTGGAGAGATGTTTCCAAAATATAATTATTGCTATAGAGTTTTCTAAAGAGTTCTTATCCCAGTTACATTTACTTAAAAATTTAATCATATCAGGTTGTCTTCCCTGTTGACAGATTTCATAACAAAAGCAATATGTACTTATTGACTTCCAGTAGTCCTAGGTACAATAAAAGTATTATAGTTAATGTTGATCACTCTAAAGTCATGAGTGTATTAATGAAATCCACAAGCTTAAGCTAGCTTTAATACCAGATAGTAATTAAATATTGACTATTTTCCAGATCACCTGAACCCAAAATTCTTCTGGTGAGCCTCTTCTATGTTTCTGAGAAGGTATTTAAGTGCTCAGTTTCCTTGATGCCAATTAAATGCAGCTCATTTGCAAGTTAATTTTTATATAAAGACAGAACCAGAGATCTCATTGTTTTCTTGCTTGAATTGAAAATGCACCACCCCCTACAACCCGCGCCTTTTTTCCCCCTCAGTCTGGGCGACCACAGATGAATCAGGTAGTTCCTGAGAGCTCAGGCAGGAGTAGTGGCAAAAGCAGAGGAGGGGAAATTGGCAGAGGAGGAGAAATTGCAAGCTCCTGTTTTTTCTTTTTGTTCTTTAAAAATCCCACCAAGTCACCTAAGGCTGGAGTCTCCAGCAGTGTGGGCTGTTTGTGGGCACAGTGGAGAACTTCAGCCTCGAAATACAATGTTGGCAGAGAATTCCAGCAGAAGTTGGAATTGACATCACAAACAAAGATGCCAATCACAAAACTTAAAGACACAAACTAGAAGTTTGTAGGATGAAGGGGACGGGAGTGCAGGGGTGAGGCCTTAGGGAAGAAGACAGAGCAGCTGTGTTCGGTGGTCCCGGAGGTGCCCAGAGCCCCTCCCAGAAGGGCGCAAGTGCCCCGTGTGGAGTGCCACGAAGTCTGTTACCAGCCAGGGTTCTTGGTCTTCCCCAGTTGATAGAAATGGACTAGAGACCAGACAAGAAATTCAGGCAAGGCTTCAGTGGGCCCTGCTGCAGCAGACGGCGGCGAGAACAGCAGCAGGCCCCCTCGCTCCCGGTGGAGCTGGATGGGTGAGCGTGTTCCTTGTACGGCGTGAGGTAGGGGTGCACCCAGGGGTGGGGCTGGAGGGGCAGCTTAGGTGTCTTGCCCCCCGTTAGGTGGCGGTGTGTGCAGGAGGCATGCGCACTACCTGCTTTGGCTCCAGGCTCCTCAAAGGCGGCTCTTTTGCTCTCTGTGTCTTTCATCCAGAGCCTGTCCCGGCTGCCCAGGCACACAGTCTCCGTGTTGGGTTGCTTGAGGGGAGGTGTGTAGGGGCAAACGTTATAGCGCCGCCGCCGAGAGCCCCAGGTCCCAGCCTGTCTCATGTCTACAGTGTAAATTCTTATTTTTTTCGGCCTTTAGAAAATATTTACGTAGTCATCCTGAAGAGTCACAGTCTTTGAAGAAGCTCGACATGGAATCTGGTAGTCACAGTCCTAGGGCTTCTCCGTGGGCCACTAGTCTCCTTGACCTTAGAATCGTTGCTGTCCAACCATGGACTGATTCCATAGACAGCTGGACAGGTGGATGGGGCTCTTTGGTCAAGAGGTCAAATGATTTTTCAGGGATGATAGCACATATTTGAAGATGTACTAATAATACACTGATCAGATGTTCCTGAATAGCATCACCACACAGGATCTGAGAGGCTTAGAATCAGGCAGACTGCATGGGCTGCCTAAATTCTCTAGAATTTACACACAGTTGTTATTTCTAATACCTTGCCTTCCTGGTACGTGATAAAGAAAACACCCCAAATCAGACATCAATACAGAGGTCCCTGACTCTCAGAGGCATAGTGTGGCAATGCCTGCCGGGCACAGATGGCTTGGGCGGCATAATGATAAGCTTTTATTTTCTGCCTTAAGCAAAAGACAGTGACTTTCACCTATTGCAACACTGAGGCTTATGCTTCACAACTGATGTTGCTTCATTAGTGTATTTCTGTGGGTCTAATGTGTTTCCAACGATTACACTTTTCCTTCTGGGAGGTTGTGGAGATGTGTACATGGGCATCCCTGCCCACCCCCATCTGTCATGAGAATCCCAGGTTAAACAAATGTGAAGGGTCTGGAGAAGTCTTAACAAACAGCAGGTTCAACAGCTGGTATTGGGGTGTGCCTTGGAGACGAAGGCTTAAGGGCACAGCTCTGCTCCCTGAAAGACGGAGAAAGAGCAGCAGGGTCCATGATCCAGAGGAACAAGAGTAGAGGAAGGATGGGGAATAAGAAGAAACTCGGATCTGGGGTAAGGAGAGGTCGCAAGTGAACCTGGAGTCATGGACGAGATAGTGGAATTCAGGAGTGAGGCAGCTGAGCCCCAAGGAAGGCAGCCGAGGAGCTGATGTTGATCCCAGACTCTCAGTGGGGTTGGTTCCAGAGTCTGGGCTGAGCTGAACCAGGAGTGGAGGTCAAAGGGCTCCTGTTACAAAGGGCAGCACACCCAAGAAGCCACGTTCATCATCGCACAGTTGAGTCCACGTCAGCTGAGTTTTTGGTGCAAATCATCCCCGGAGTCTCAGACAGTAAAGAATCCACCTGCAATGCAGGAGACCTAGGTTTGATCCCTGGGTCAGGAATTTCCCCTGGAGGAGGGCATGGCAACCCACTCCAGTATTCTTGCCTGGAGAATTCCATGGGCAGAGGAGCCTGGAGGGCTACATTCCATGGGGTTGCAGAGTTAGATCCAACTGAGCGACTAGCACTTTGAACCCTTTCATAAGTGCATGGCTCCATGCAACACTCACTGACTGCACACACCCACGTGAGCAGCCCGGATCCAGACAGAGCGGTCCCAGCAGTCCTTCTCCTGGCCCCTCCTGGTCACCCCCATCCCTCCAAGGAAGACCACCAGCTGACTGCCCACCTCAGAGATAGAGACATGAAGTGTCTAAAGAACCTAGTTTCTGATATTTATAAGTCAGGCCACCTGCATTTCTTCCATCCTTTGAGAAACCATGGCCTGTGACCCTGACTTGCTCCCTGGCAGCTACCCCTTCAGGAGGACGTGGTCTCAGCAGGTCCCACCCCTCACCTGTTTTTTTACACCTGGCCCTCTGGTGTAAGAGCTTGTAACCCTCGCCTTTTTCCACCTCTTGATCCCAGTTTGACTCTCTGTACTCTTGACCACCCAAGCCCTTTGTACACCAAGGTAGTAGTAGATAAATAAATACGTACATCAAAGAAGGCAAACATTTTTTCTCCTGATTTATCACATTTCCCCATTTTATAAAAATGCCCTGTAATACCCCCAGTTGCCCAAGATTTCTGTAGTTGTCTGTTCAAAATATCTACAGACTTTATCTATAGGTAGTGAAATGGGAGTCAGGAGACCTGGGTTTTATGCTCATGTTCTGCCACTAACCAGCCTTGTGTGATGTGTGTAACTTTTAAGGTCTCCTTTATTATTTTTAAAAAATCTGTAACATAAGAACCTTAAATGATCTCTCAGGATCCTATAAAGTTTGGACATTTTATAATTCTGTGGACTTACAGCGAGGTTACCTTGGAGCTGATGCAGACAGTGGGGCAAACGAATTGCCTAGTCCCATCGTCCTTGCTGGGTGGACACAGCCCATGGCCAGGTGGGCTGGGTGGACAGGTGAGATTTCTGAAACCCAGCGTCATTCTAAGGGCAGGCAGGATTGTTTGTAGAGTAGGGGGAAGCAGCCGTAAGAAGATGGACTGAAGACACACTGTTATATTTGAAGTGGATAACCAACAAGGACTTACTGTATAGCACAGGGAACTTTGCCTAATGTTATGTGGCAGCCTGGATGGGAGAGGAGTTTGGGGGAGGTGTGTGGATATGGATATCTGTGGCTGAGTCCCTTTGCTGTCCACCAGAAACTATCACAACATTGTTAATCACATACACCAACACAAATAAGTTAAAAAAGAAAATGACTCAAAGGCGGTCGGTTCTTATTTACCACCGTTTGCCAGCAATTCTCAACAATGTGGGTGATAAAATACTCTTCCCCCTAATATGTTTTGTTGGCTAAGTTCTAGACCATGGCTGCAGTTCCCTTTGAGTTTTAATAATGTATATGTATGCTTTAAAAGAGCATAGGGTTAGTGTGTATTTCTTACTAAGCCTTGTATCCTACATGGATACCATCCTAACACACAGATGCCCCTGTGTGAATTCATTTGGAAGAAAGTTCGTGATGGTTCGAAATTTTCTGAGTCCACTTGGAGTGCAGTCTGTGTCTCTGCTCCCTGGAGATGATATATTCCTGAGTTTAAACAGTGGGTTCAAAATGAACAGTGACAGCGCTGGGATGGCAAGGGCCAGAAACAGACCTTGAGAGGCTTTGGGTCTGCCCTTCTGGGGAGCATCTTGGAGGTGGCAAGATTGAGTGTGAACTACAGGGGAAAGCTGTTTTGTTGGGAAGTATGAGTCTTCATTCATATAGGAAATATTTTGCTGAATTTGAACGAAATCTTTGAGGCTGAAGTCTATTTTTACTATTTGATTTAAATCTAAAGGATGAACCAAGAAAATAATGATTATTCTCCCCAAGTAACTTTAACATAACAGGAGAGAGGTATTAAAAGTGATCTGTCTGCAGGGTTGAAGACTCTCGGTATGTTGGCCACCAATGCCCATTTGTTCTCTCCTCACGTTTGTACCAGTTACTGGCCAACATCCTGCCAAGAACAAGCGTCCAAAGGAGCCCGGAGAGAACCGAATCAAGCCTACCAACAAAAAGGTGAAGCCCAAAATTCCTAAGATAAAGGACAGGGACTCTGCTGATCCAACGCCAAAGACACAGTCTATAATGACGCAAATGATGGATAAAGGTCGCTTCCAGAAACCCGCTGCTACCCTGAGCCTGACGGCAGGGCAAACTCTGGAGCTTCGATGTAAAGGGAATAAAATCGTATGGAGCTATCCTGCATACCTCGACACCTTTAAGGACACCCGCCTCAGGTAAGCTTTAGTTTTTTTAGCAGTAGTTAAAACGTACATGTGTTTGTTTATCTTTGGCTGCGTTGGGTCTTCGCTGCTGTGTGCGGGCCGTCTCTAGCTGCCTCGAGTAGCGGTTANCTACCTCTTCTACACACGGCAGCGCATCTGTCACTGCTACTCCTTCACATCTTCCCACCCTCTCCTCCCCATTCAGTGCTGGAATGAACACTGGGGTACATGTGTCTTTTTGAGTTAGCGCACTGTTTTGATTACTCTAACTTTGTAGTATTGTCTGAAGTCTGGGAGAGTTATGCCTCCTGCTTTTTTTTTTTTTTTTAAGGATTGCTTTGGCAATTCTGGGTCTTTTATGGTTCTATATAAATTTGGGGATTATTTATTCTAGTTCTGTGAAAAATTTCTTGGGTAATTTGGTAGGGATTGCATTAAATCTATGGATTGATTTGGGTAGTATTGCCATTTTAACACTATTCTTCCAAGCCAAGACCGTGGGATATCTTTCCATCTCTTTGAATCCTCTTTAACTTTCTTCACTAGTGTTTTAGAGTTCTCTGTGTACAAGTCATTCACCTCCTTGGTCGGATTTATTCTTGGATATTTTATTTTATTTTTTGGTATGATTATTTGAAAATTATTTATTTGGGGCTGTGCTGGGTCTTCGTTGCTGCATGCAGGCTTTCTCTGGCTTTGGCTGGTGGGGCTACTGTCTAGTTTCGATGTGCGGGATTCTCGTTGCAGTCACTTCTCTTGTTGCGGAGCTCGGGCTCCAGGCACGCGGGTTTCAGCAGTTGCAGCATGCAGACTCTAGTGGTGGTGCACAGTCTTCATCGCCCTGCAGCATGGGAACTCTTTCCAGACGAGGGATCAAACCCAAGTCTACTGCACTGGCAGGCAGCTTTTTAACCATTGGACATCAGGGAGGCCCTGGTATGATTTTTAAAGGGTTTTTTTTTTTACATTCCCTTTCTGATATTTCATTGTTAGTATAAAGAAATGCAGTGGATTCTGAATGGTAATCTTGTATCCTGCTGCTTTGCTGAATTCATTTATTAGATCTGGCAGTTTTTGTGTGGAGTCCTTAGGGTTTTCTCTACTTAGTATCACGTCATCTGAATATACTGACAACGTTACCTCTTTCCCTTCCAATTTGGATACCTTTTATTTCTTTTCTTTTTTTGGTCTGATTGCTGTGGCTGTGACTTCCAATGCTGTGTTGAATAGAACTGGTGAGAATGGGCATCCTTGTCTTGATTCAGATTTTAGCCAGAAGGCTTTCAGCTTTGCACCAAAGAGTATTATATTGGTTGTGAGTGTGTCCTAAATGGCTGTTACTATGTTGAGATATGTCCCTTCTATACCCACTTTGGTAGGGATTTTTGTCATGAATGGATGTTGAAATTTGTCAGGTTTTTTCTGCATCTATCGAGATGATCATGTGGGGTTTTTTTACTTTTCTTTTGTTAATGTGGTATGTTACATTGATTAATTTGCATGTGTTGAACCATGCTTGTGAACTTGGGATGAATCCCACCTGCTCATTGATAGGACCTACATGGGGGCTCATAGTTGAAATGGCTCATTATGTTGAATAAAGTCACAGCGACCCTTGCAACTGACCAAACTGCCGAAATGACATTCTATTTTCCCGCTGATGCCTACCTTCTCAAGGCTATGTGACCACCAGATTCTAGACCTCCAGCTACGTGACCGCAGGACTCAACTACAGGCTAAAAATTAACCATCCCTTCAGAGAATTTTTCACTGGCGGGGTTTAAGAAAGACCCGTCAGAAAGGGAGGACACTGGCTCTTCTCAAGGGCCAGTCACCCTCTTGTTTTCCCTCTAAGAAGTTTTCTTTTCTTGCCTGACCGCCCAGCTCGTTCTCTTTGTCTCTGCACTCACCTTATGATATTTTTATGTATGATATTTTTATATCTTGCGGAACTTGGTTTGCTGATATTTTGTTGAGAATTTCTGCAACTATATTCATCAAAAGTATTGACCATAATTTTCTTTTTTGGTGGTATCTTAATCAGGGTGATAGTGGCTTCATAGAATGTTTTTGGGAGTGTTCCTTCCTCTTCAGTCTTTTAGAAGAGTTTGAGAAGAATCAGTGTAAGTTCTTCTTTGTATCCCTGGTAGAATTCACCTGTGAAGCCATCTGTTCCTGGACTTTTTTTATATGGAGTTAAAAAAAAAATTACAAATACCATTTTACTTATAGTGATTGACCTGTTCAAATGATTTATTTCTTCTTGATTTAATTTTGATGGACTGTATGTTTCTAGAAAGTTTTTTCACTTCTTCTAGGTTGTCAAATTTGTTCACAGTATGTTCTTATGGTTTTTTCTATTTCTGCACTATTAGTTGAGATTTCTTCATTTTCATTTTGCTTATTTGGGTCTCTCTCTTTTCTTCTTGGTGAGTCGGATCACAGGTCTGTCAGTTGTGTTTACCCTCTCAAAGAACCAGCTCTTGGTTTAATTGATTTTTTTTCTACTGTTTTTTAATCTCTGTTTTATTTATTTCCTCCCTGATCTCTATTATTTCTTTCCTTCTGTTGACTTTAGGTTTTGCTTGTTTTTCTTTTTCTAGCCCTTTTCAGTGGCAGGTTTGGTTGTTGGAGAGTTCTCTTGTGAAGACCTATGTCACTATGAACTTCCCTCTAAGAACTCCTTTTATTGCATCCATAGATTTTGTGTGGTGTGTCTTCATTGTTGTTTGTCTCGGGGTATTTTTTTAATTTCCTTTTTAATTTCCTCATTGGTTTTGTAGTAGCAGGTTGGTTAGTCTCCATGTGATCATTTTTTCTAATTTCCTTTCCTGTGGTTGATTTCTCCTTCCATGCTGTTGTGGTCAGAGGAGATGCTTGGAATGCTTCCACTTTCTTAGGAGTCATAAATTTGTCCCCTTGCCATCTCTGGTGTCACTACCCCAGTCCCAAGCACGTTAGTCTTCATCATCACCAGTCCTGCATTATCCACACCCAGGCTGGTCCTCTGCCATCCTCCTCACTGCACCTATAGTGATGCTTAAAAAAAAATGCATGTCTAATTGTGACAGTCCCCTGCTTAACACTCAGTGGGCCTCCATTGGGGAGGAAGTTCAACATCCTCACAGGACTCTGAGACCCTCCCTGATCCACCCCACCCCACCCCTGTGTCTAGATTAGTCTCTTTGTTTTCATTGGTCCAAGTTCCTGTGACATAGTCAGATGCACCAATCTCTTAGAGGCTTAAAACTTGCTGCTTTCATGATCTGGACCACTCATGGCCCCTCTTCACCTGGCTGATTTCCTACGGGAAGTTCATGTCAGGCCTCCCTGGGTTTGCATCCTCATGGCCCCTGATGCGTCCTTTTTTTTGAATACTCTTCACACTTTTATCTTTTTTTTTTTTTAATCTGTGCTTTTCACTGGGACTTAGCTGCATGCTTGGCGTTTAGCTTTATCTATTGAATAACTGAATGACAATCTTTCCCTTTTTTCCACACACATTCCTTGGAGAATAAATAATGTATATGTATAAGAAATATCTCTCCATCTGTCTAACTGCTTGGACTAAGTTGTCTTTCACATTTTATTCTGAAGATACTCTTCTGGCTTCATGTGGTGTGACCATGTAGAGTTTTTTTCTGAAAGATTATTGGGTTAGACAAGGGTGAAAGAATGAGACAGTTTTTCTCATTTTCATTTCCACAATTGACATGTGTGTGTGTGGGGGGGGGGTGGCTTGGAACAGATTTAGCAAGATTTATTGTGTGTATGTATGTGTTCAGTCACTCAGTTGTGTCTGAGTCTTTGCAACCCCATGGACTGTAGCCTGCCAGGCTCCTCTGTACATGGGATTTTCCGGGTAAGAATACTGGAGTGGGTTGCCATTTCCTTCTTCAGGGGATTTTCCCAACCCAGGAATCGACAGGTGGATTCTTTACCACTGCGCCACCTGGGAAGCCAAGATTTACTACCATATATCTTTTAAATGACTTAATTTACCAAAGTCAAACTTAACACACTTTTTTAAAAAACCAGAATTGAGCTGATTTAAAATTTTCTGAACAGTTAGCCTTTGACTTACACAAACTATCCTAAACCTCAATGATTTAGCCCTTGAATATTTCATGTTTTCTAAGAGTATTTTCAAAGTTTGTGTGTGTGTGTGTGTGCACTCAGTAGTGTCCAACTCTTTGCAACCCTGTGACCATAGCCCACCCGGCACTCTGTCCATGGGATTCTCCAGGTCAGAATACTGGAGTGGGTTGCCAAGCCCTCCTCCAGGGGATCTTCCTGACCTGGGGATTGAATCCACGTCTCTTGTGGCTCCTGCATTGGCAGGTGAATTCTTTACCATTAGCGCCACCTGAGAGGCCATGGGGAAATAGTATTACCCTTCGCAAATGCTATCTGCATGCTAAATCGCTTCAGTGGTTTCCAACTCTTTGTGATCCTGTGGACTGCAGCCTACCAGGCTCCTTTATCCATGGGATTCTCCAGGCCAGAATACTGGAGTGGGTTGCCGTGCCATCCTCCAGGGGATCTTCCCAACCCACGGATCGAACCTGTGTCTCTTGTGTCTCCTGCCTTGGCAGGTGTGTTCTTTACTACTAGCATCACCTGCAAAATCCAAATACTGCCTAGCCCAGTGGTAAATGTTCAATAAGTTGTACCTAATTGTTACTAGGCAATGCATATTTCTCACGTACAATAATGCAAGTGATCTTTTGGAACAGTTCATTCTGACCAGGACTAGCACAAGTCAGGGAACTGTGCACCGCTGATGTGGCTTCTGATACGGAGGATCCAGGTACGGTTCCACATGCCTTTCCCACTTTGATTTAATTGAGCAACTCTTTGAAATCTGAGCTTGTCTCCCTCTTCCCCTGTGAAATCCTAAGCCCGCTGAGGGGAAATCCTAAGCCCGCTGAGGGTAAATCCTACATCTGATAGGTTCATCCTCAGATTCCCAGCACCTTGAAGAGTGCCTGACATAAACCAGAAGTCAGGAA